AAGGGGGTTGGGTTGTTGGGGAGGGGGGGGTGTAGGTGGGCTCCAAACAGGCAGTCAGCGGTGCGGCGTTGTGATTGGCCAGTCCAGTGATGAGTGAGGTGGGGCAGGTGGCAGAGAGAGATGGTACTTTAAGGAGAGACGCGTTAGGTTAGGCCTAGATCTACGTTTTTCAAGGCCTCCGCACAACCCACTCGCTTCACATACAGGTTCCAAGAGACCTTGTGGGTACTGTGGTCGCCTCCCTAGCCACAAACGAGACGCCTGCCCTGCCAAGTCTGCAGTCTGTGGTTCCTGTGGCAAGAGAGGCCTCTATAAATTATAAAGCAGTTTGCCGTAGTCACCCCAAAGTTCAGGAAGTCACAGTCACAGTGAACTCCTACCCCGGAGCTGAGGCCCGAGACTTTTTAAGTTCCATCACTGTGAACCAAGTTGACAGCCCAGACGAGTGGTGTACAATGTGCAATCATCAAGCTGAACTCCATCCCAACAAAGTTCAAGCTTGATATACTGGTGGTGAGGTCTCTGTCATGGGAGACAGAAGTGTGGACACAAGTCAGCCTCTCAATAGCTGCAATAACATTCTAGTAAAAGCCCCTGGTTGCACAACTCTGTATACTCTTGGCGCCAAATTTGAGACTGGTCTAAGTTCAAAGAAAAATCCATGAAAGAGACAATGGTTGTTGTGAAAGACCAACCATTTACATGCCCATGCCAGTGGCGTCGTTTGGGTTGCAGACAAGGTGGTGCATAATTGGAAAGTGAGCAAATGGGCAATAGGCTTACTACTAGCAAACTACTATTAAATTGTAATGAGCGGTTAGCGGGCGTTCTGGTGTGGTCTGTTCTTTCTACATGTATTGCTTTCTGCGAGTCTCTCTGTGTGTGTGTGTGTGTGGTGTGTGTGTTTGGTGACCAAACCTTGTCAGTGTCGGATCGTTCAGTAAAAAGCAGACAATGGAAACAGTACCGTACAATTTCTTTTTGGACAAGCTCACCATAAGCCATGCATACTTAACATACCACGTACAGGAAAAAGAGCGAACACTGTTCTTGAGCTCAAAATCCCGCGGCTGATGAGGACCAAGCTCTTTTATGCGCACTTTCTCTTCTAACTGTAGCCTGCTGAATGGCGCAAGAAGCAAAGCGTCAACGTGATTCATCTAGATTTCTCTAGATAAAGTCAGTTAGAATCTGCAAGATATCCCGTAATTTATACAAAGGGTCAACGTGATTCATCTAGATTTCTCTAGAGAAAGTCAGTTAGAATCTGCAAGGTATCCCGTAATCTACATCTATCGATATTTACAACTGTTTCTAGATGAAAACGCATAAAAGTATAAAAGCTGCAACGAGGTTGCAAACAGACTGAAGTCGCTTTCAACCAGGTCGCGATAACTAAGTAAAAGCATTTAGCGGCCCCAAAAGAGAAGGATTTTTCTACTTTCTCTCCATCTCACGCGAAGCGCAAGGCCCATCCTCGATTCCTAACACATTGTATTGCTAGTAATGCTAGATCTAGTGTGCCTCTTAATATGGGCCCCAAAGCCAAGAGAATGGGCGAGGGTCAACCTGCGGTAGGGATGGGAGGGGGTGGGTGGGAACGCGATGCGAGCTGTGTGAAACTGGATGAACTCTTGATGGGTAGGTCTAGATCGAAACCTTCACTTTTTTTCAATGTTCTTTTTTTCCCCTGATCAGAAAATCCAAGCTCCTGACTTTACTTTATGTAGATCTAGGCCTAGACGTGAGAGGGTATGTTTCCACACGAGAAGTTTCCGTTAAAAAATATTTAAAAGTGCAGAAATGACGGTCAGAACACAGCTCTAACACGCGCACACTGATGCTGTCTGAGATTTTTGTCTTCAGGGGAACAATCGTTTTAATTACTGGTATTGGTACATCGTGTAATACAATAACTTGTCTCATTTCTTTACTATAGCCTAAGTCACGTTCAACGACAGGTCGGACCCAACGAGGACAACAAGCCGGCCCCGGCAACCTCGTTGAATGCGACAGCCACTGTACCAGTATCTCTTCAATAAACTTTTTTTTATATTAATGTATAAGACATATAGTAATAATGTTAAAAATAATGATAATGCTAATAATAATAATTTATAATAATAATATTAATACTGCTACCTAGATCTAGATCTAGATCTACTATTATTAATAACAATAATAACTTTAATAGTAAAAATTTAAAAAGTAATATTAGTAGTAATAATAATAATACAATGACAATAATAATGATGATGATGATGATGATGATGATGATAATAATAATAATAATAATAATAATAATAATAATAATAATAATAATAATAATAATTTCATCGAATGCAACTGTTGGAAGCTGGTAGGTAGGCCTAGATCTACATACTATACTGCTTAAACTGTCTTAATGCTCTTCATACTTGTTTGATCGTTCGGGTGAGAATAGAGGTGGCCGAAAGAAAACGGACGCAATGTTAATATTTATTTTCCTAGGATCTACAGTTATAATATTATAAAGATCTATAGAATCTATGCTTAAACGTATTGTGCAGAATCAAATTTGGAACATGTAGTCAGACTTTTCCCTCTTCATGGCACTGTTTATTCGTTTATATAGAATCTAGATTTAGAGTCTAGAGTAGTAAATACTGTGATAAAGATGGCTGACATTTCCTACACAAGTAAACAAATGGACGCCAACTGTGAGGAAGACACAACAATAACAATGTATAGACTTAACTCTGGAAATGATAATGGCTCTGGATGTGTGAAAACTTGTGATTTATTTGTTCCTTGTTCTTCTGGAGAAGGTGTGAATCTTGGGATTGATAGCATAGTTGTTAAAAGTGAACTTACGTCTAGTTCTGGGACTAGATCAAGATGTAGATCTAGTACGGGTACTCTTTGTACTAACAGTTTAAGGGAAGATGTAAAACATGACATTATAGGCAGGGAAAGTGAATCTGTGGGTGTTGATGAGGAACACCTGTCAGTAAAAGAAGAGCCCAGTTTTGAATGTCCGTGTAACGCCAAGGCCGAGACAAATGACAAACTGAATGTTGAAAGTGAAAGTAGCCTGACTCTCAGACACAGTGTAGTAAAAGATGAGCCTATCTGTACAGAGGAGGAAGACGTGAAACCTGTCATTAAACCAGAGTGCCTCGCAGATATCTGTGCGGTGAAAACTGAACCACTATTTGGACATTTTCCTGACTTTGGTGATGAAGTGAAACCAAAAATGGAAAATTTTGTGAAAGAAGAAGTGTCAGAATGGGAAGGTCCAGACGTTGTAGAGGTAGGAAAGACAGAAGGACAAGTGGGAGATGTGGAGGATACGTGTACTGAGCCCGTGTTTGTTGAGGATCGCATGAGTCAGGCTGGAGGACTACAGCTGAAAATCTCCAATGTGAGGAGCTTGTGTATGGAGCAGAGTGCCAGCCCCGACACTGATGTTGTTGCTTCCAGTAGTCCAACTTCAACTTTCTGTGCCGATCCAGTCACAAGTTCAGGATCTGTTGTCAGGACCAGCTGGGATCACGGTGAAAGTTCTGGTACGTAAAATCCTTCTGTGTGTGGACTTTTCGATACGATGTGTTTTGCCTTTCTTGATGTGGTTTGTCAAGTTGTTAAAAAATCAGCAATTCCATGACATGCCAGGTACATTTGTATCATGCAGTTATACTGGCATGACAAATTCATTGGGCCCGACGTACATCATTGAATCTCAGTGTTTATTGATTTATTTTAAATAATAAAAAATATGTTATTCCACAAAGAAATGTTGTAAAGTGATTCAAAGTAAATCTGCTTTTATTGGATCAGAAAAAGCTGTAGCGGCAATGGAATTTTCTGTTGAAAGAATTAAAATCAGAAAAATTTATCACAGCTCAAATTCATTCAAAATGTAGAAAATTTCACACGGCTTAAAAAAACAAGCAAAAAGCAGGACTTGGAACGGTCAGACAATTTACGTAATAATGCAAAATATCATGAAGTGGTTGGGTCTTACCTTGGATTTTGTTGAATCTGAGAGTCCTTTATAGCTCAATGTGAGCAACGAGTTGTGGCTCAATGCTTAGCACACACCAACATCTGTTTCCACCGACAAGTGCTTAGTTCATTATAATAGATTTACATCTATCATGTCTAGACTTCCCTTTCATTGTTCAGTAGTGGGGGGGGGAATATGATTGTGACACACATGTATCTCTGTCGACTTTCAACGGGCCAGAGGTACACACTAAAGACAGCGCACAGCACTCACTCGGCAGCTGATTGATAATCTCTTCCTGAACTTTCTCATGTACGTCTCTGTGAGATCTGCGGTTTTCTAGTGTTTGTCCTGCCTTAACATCTAGCTTCTGATCCTGCAGAAATGTTCCAGAAAGTTCTGCTGGAGCAGTACCTGTTGCAATTGGTTATTTCTTGTTTTACCCCTGCATGGCAATCGCGCTAGACAGATCTAGATGAGTCAAGATTGGCCACAGTTTAATTGTCTCAAGCAGGGTTGGGTTGATTTAGATCAGGTCGATTTAAATCAGTTAATTTTTTATATTTAAATCAACTTGATTTTTAAAATAAAAATCAGTGATTTAAATCACTTTAAAAAAATATTTTTATTCAGTTTTTACATTAATATTTAAACATTCAGAATGCCTTTCCTTGGTTTTATAAAAACAAATACAAGGTTTAGTAGACTAATAATCATGCTTAAAAGTCTGCTTTTTCCCCCTGTCACTTTAAAATTATAATTGAAATTAGCATATCTTTTTTTTTAGACAAATACAAGTGCGCGCGCGCGCACACACACACACACACACACACACACACACACACACACACACACACACACACAGACTAAGGAAATGTCTTGATTTGTAAATTAACTGTAAACTTAATTATTTATTGAATGTCAGATCAAATCAATTGTGACTGAGGAGAATAAAAACATTAACAAATAAATCACAAACAATGTAACAAAAATAATAATTCTGGTTTTATTGCAAGGTACAAAATGGCAACTGAAGGAATTTTGAAAGTAAATCACTTTCATACAATATATTTTAAACAGTATTACAATAACTAAAAGTTTAGATCTTGTTGAAATTTCCCATTGAGCTGTTTGGGGTTGAAGGTTTTGAAAAGAAACACAATAATACAATATGTAATTTACTTTTTTTTTCATAATTGAAATTAGCATTTTCTTTTTTTTTTTTTCAGACAAACACAAATGCGCGCATACACACGACATGTACACACACTGTAATGAAATGCAAGTTTATCTATGCATAATTACCCCCCTTCCTGTTAGACTGACATTTTCTTTATTTAATTTTTTTGTCTGTAACCTTGAATAATTCACTAATATAGCAGATTTTAAAGGCTTTCTTTTGAAGTTGCTTAAATTTTAATCATTAGTTAAAATGAATAAAGACAATGCATTTTGCTCTACTAAAAGAACATACTTTTAGCCACTTAAGATTCCAAACTGTGTTGACATTAAAAACATGACATATTCTTCCACAAACTGACAGACGTGCAAGGACTTCGCTTCGCTCTGTGGGCTTTCCGTCCTTCTCCGGTGGAGAGCCTCCAGGCCGAGGCAAACATACCACCACTCTCACTCAGACGCACACAACTCTCACGACAATACGCAATTAAACAGAGCTCAACACCAGAGAACCCGGCACACGACTGCATTTTCCAAACAAACCAAGACACCGTAAACAAATTCAAAAACAACGAAAAATTCATCAAACCCTTCGGCCACAGAGTCCTTGAGGACCTCAAAAACTTACACTTTTCCCTAACAAGACATCCAACAATTCCTTTTCCCCGACCTCCCTCCATGGCACCTCACCAAGGCAGAAGTAGACTTACAGCTGACCACACACAACAAAGAAAGCACGAACTCCAAAACATTTAAAGCAGAATACAAAAAAACCTATAGGAAAATACCCCGGTGCGGAGCTTATCTTCACAGATGGCTCCTAATCGGACTCTTCTGTGGGCGCCGCAGCCCTATCCTCAAACAGTACACAGCAGAGGAGACTACATCGCGAAAATCCATTTTTTTCTTCAGAGGCCACTGCCATTGACATGGCACTGGACTCCATAGAAAATTCTCCTAACAAATCTTTCCTTTTATCCGATCTGACTCTCTGTCTTGCATCACCTCACTTACTAACTACACACTCTTTCACCCAAAAATAGTTAGATTACAACAAAAAATGTACGCTCTAGCTGAAACCGGGAAAAATATCGTGTTCACATGGCTACCTAGCCATGTGGGCATCCAAGGAAATGAGCAGGTGGACCTCCTGGCGAAGAAATGCTTGTGCCTTCTGTTGGGACCAACGACGAACACTCTCCCACAGACTGACTTTAAGAATAAATTCAAGAACTACACTTCCAGTCTGTGGGAGACCCATTTCATTGGAAAAAATCAAGTTAACAATAACTTTACAGCATTTTTATGTATCGACATCAAATCCATTTTCCAAAGTATGTCGATAAAAGCGGATTGTACTGTACGTTGAATAAATTTGCTTAGATAACTTGTTCACAAATTCATAATTTTGTCTTCTTCCAGATGGTTCATCTTACTGTCAGTAGATAACTTGTCCGTTACTTGTCTTCTTTCAGATGTCTCGACTTCCCCTCATAGGCCACTGACTTCCTGTCACTCAGTACAACAGACAAGTGATATGCAGGGAAGACAAGGTCAAAGTTCAAGCTGCAGATTTCAGACAGGACAAAGGGTCTATGAAGAGAATGTTGGCAGTGTCCGAAAAGAAACCTCTTCTGGTGACATCGGTGATGTGGAGAGAGTCTGTGACCTCCATCAGAACATAGCAGGTGACAAGCAGATGGACAACAGAAATCTCTACCATGGTCGGGAAAAACCTCATGAGTGTAAAGTCAGTGGTGAAATGTTTTCAGAAGTAGGTAACTTACAGACACACGAAAAAAAACACACAAGAGATAGGCCTCACCAATCTGAAGTTTGTGGTGCTGCATTTACCAAGAGCAGACGTCTACAGGATCACAAAGGAACACACACAGGAGAAAAACCTTACAAGTGTGAAGTTTGTGGTGCCACGTTTACACGTGGTAGCAATCTGCAGAGTCACAAAAGATCACACACAGGAGAAAGACCTTACAAGTGTGAAGTTTGTGGTGCCACGTTTACACTTGGTAACAGTCTAAAACGTCACAAAAGAACACACACAGGAGAAAAACCTTACAAGTGTGAAGTTTGTGGTGCCACTTTTTCACTTGGTGACAGTCTAAAACGTCACAAAAGAACACACACTGGAGAAAAACCTTACAAGTGTGAAGTTTGTGGTTCCACATTTACATGCGGCAGAAATCTACAGGATCACGAAAGAATACACACAGGAGAAAAACCTTACAAGTGTGAAGTTTGTGGTGCCATGTTTACATGTGGCAGAAATCTACAGATTCACAAAAGAACACATTCAGGAGAAAAACTTTACAAGTGTGAAGTTTGTGGTGCCTCTTTTAAACGGAGCGGACATCTACAGAGTCACAAAAGAACACACACAGGAGAAAAACCTTACAAGTGTGAAGTTTGTAGTGCTACGTTTACACAGAACGCACATCTACAGCGTCACAAAAGAACACACACAGGAGAAAAACCTTACAAGTGTGAAGTTTGTGGTGCCTCTTTTAAACGGAGCGGACATCTACAGAGTCACAAAAAAACACACACAGGAGAAAAACATTACAAGTGTGAAGTTTGTGGTGCTATGTTTACACAGAACGCAAATCTACAGCGTCACAAAAGAACACACACAGGAGAAAAACCTTACAAGTGTGAAGTTTGTGGTGTCGCTTTTTCACTTGGTGACAGTCTAAAACATCACAAAAGAACACACACAGGAGAAAAACCTTACAAGTGTGAAGTTTGTGGTGCCACGTTTACACGTGGTAGCAGTCTACTGATTCACAAAAGAACACATTCAGGAGAAAAACCTTACAAGTGTGAAGTTTGTGATGTCACTTTTACACAGAGCGCACATCTACAGCGTCACAAAAGAACACACACAGGAGAAAGACTTTACACAGTGTGAAATTTGTGGTGCCAGGTTTGCATAAAGAGACCATCTATGGAGATGCGAAAGAACACTCGTGAGAAAAAAAATGTATCAAGTATTTTGGGACATACTCTTTGTGGTCCACACGATGACTGAAGGGTAAAAAATGATCTATCTAAAGAAGGCCAGATACAGGTGTGAAATTTGTGCTGCAAAATTTAACTAACTGTGGACTGGCTGCAGGCTAAAGGACATAATTTTGAGGATTCTACTTCTTTTAGTTTAGTTTTTAGTAATAGTAGCTTGATTGATTGAGTGGGTGTTTTACGGCACTATTGACCCAACTTTGGTCATTTAAGCGTCATAATAGTAGCTTTATAGCACTTGCAGCTCAATAAGGTCATATGATAAGTGTCGAAGATTAGAAGTGTTGCAAAAGAGCGCCTAGCGACATACACAAAAAATGGAGAGAGATCAGGACACAACAGATGTTCTACAGAAAAGAAGGAGCAAACTACACTAGAGCACCCGCGAACCACCCATGAATCTGACTGAAATTTGAGTTAGTCTTTGTATTGGATGGCGTAGGGTGTAGCGAGGCAAAATGAGACTTGCTGGAGAAATACAATGGAGTCCGCTTAATTGGGACCAGAAGAAAGTGTTCACGTTATCGGAAGAGAACTAAGTCTCTATCTTTCGCCTGCGAACACTACACATCCCACTGAATTCCTACCTAAATAGGATCCGCAAGGATACCCCACCCGACTGCCCGTTGTGTGACTCCCAGGATGAAACAGTATCACACCACCTCTTTACCTGCCCTGCACTTAGCGACCTGCGTAGTACTGTCTCTTACTGTGAAAAGAGCGAAAAAAATTTACTACGAAAACAGCTGTTTAATTTCGCGAAGTGCACAAAAAATTATCCATTTCCGGTAACTGGCCAAGCCGGCCTAGCCTTGTGTTTTGAACAGTGCCTTCCGGTGCTGGCTGCGTACTTCTCTAGGTCTAGATATCGACATGTCTGCCAAGTGAAGATGGATAGATTTTTGAAGAATATTAAGACGGCGACCAAGACATCGGCAAGTGAACGTCAATGACAATTTGTGGACAAAACACAGGTTTCTGGTGGCAAATTGTTCTGCAAGGCGTGCAACGTGATCCTGGACCACACCAGAAAGTCATCTGTTGACAACCACATGGCTTCGTTGAAACATGCTAAGAGGAACACCGAGCAAGAGGCGACAGGACAGCCTCCTAAGCGACAGGCTACCTTGAGTATGGCCGTATGTCGGCCAGTTAAATCGACTATTGCTAGTGAAGGTAAGAAATTTAGATCTAGATCTAGATTCTACTCTTTAGTTTTTGATTTAAGAATGTTATAAATACTAACATCAAGATATAATTATTAAGAAAAGATCTATTGCTATCTAGATCTACATCTAGATTAGAAAGATTTGCCCCCGGAGGAGCATCCCAATATTTGTTAGCATGGAAGATATAGATATAGTCTAGATTTAAGTGATTTACGGCGCTCGCAAAACTGCATAATAAGGTTATAGCCTAATATGAGCGGGCGAAACACAAGTTGATTTTATTCACAACAATTCTCGGCACAGCTAGAAATTCTTCTGAGCAGGTAAGCAAGGATTATGTTGGAACTGCTACTCAGCTGACAATCAACTGTTGACAACCACAAGTCAGTTCTAGTTGGACTCCTATTGAAAACATCAGTCTGAGGAAATGATGACAAAGTACCAACTTACGCCAAATTTATTTGATGGCTGCTCTTACTGGCCCACATGGGCAAATAAGCTGGGGCTTATTGGCCCACATGGGCCATTTAATGCGTTGTTTTTCAATGTATTTCATACATGGCATTGTCCCAACTTGTTCTCTAACTTCTTACCTATTGTTTATCTTTTTATTTTTAGCATTAGATTGTAAAGCTATACATTCTCAATTTAAAATATGTGATTGATGGACTATAATTTGTTGAGCTATTTTTGAAGATGAAAAGCGTTCTTTCTCTAGATATCTAGATTAGCTTTAATAGTTTTTGATTATCAAGATTAAATAAGAAATAATCAATACGGCTATTACTATTAGCATTCTGTACCCTTAATAACACAAATGAGTTTTTGTTATCTGTTGGGATCTTGTTGGTTTGGGAGTCATTCAAGATCTAGATCTATACTTCCCTAATATTATAGTAGTTAAATTGACTTACTTTCAGGTGTAAAATATAATATTAACTTAAGCCTTAGAGAAGTGTATAATTATAACATAAAATAATTTCTCTGATATTTAACCCTAACTCTGGCAAGTGGTTTCAACAGGAATGGCAGGGCTAATCAGCCAAAACGTGCACATGCTTTACAAATCAAATTTATGGACTTGCATCAAATAAAAACCCTACAAAAGTATATATTTTCTGAAAGATAATTGAATGAACTTTTATATTTTGCCATTGAACATATGATTTTATTTTATTTTTAAGGGGTTATGTAACTTTGAAATCCAAGATGGCTGACATAAAAAATTTACATGCTCATTAGCATATTCACCAATCTAATGTCTTTCTTGTTATAAAAAATGTGAGATGGCAGAAATATGGGTTTTTCAATTACCTTTCAGAAAATGTATAGTTTTATAAGTTTGAGAAGAACAGGTAATGAGTTATGACTGTTTCAATTTGTCAGGTGGTCTGTTTCGAGCGCAGCTGATACGCGCTAATTTCATACCATACTCAACATAAAAACACTCTAAGTACAACCATGTGGTTTTCAGCAATCTGCTGGTAGTCTGTAATAATTAGTATAGCAAAAGGAACCTACTTTACTCTCTATAGCTCTCCTTTTTCTGCCCCTATTAGACTCCCAAAGAAGTAGAATCTAGATCTAGTGTTCCATTTGAAAGAGAAGTTGGGGTAGGATGAGAACTGGTACATGTATCCCCATTGTATGTCAGATCTAATCCCACTCTTGACTGAACACCAATAAATCCACCACTAACAGTGTCTGAATTACTTTCCCTAGTCAATTCACTTTCAAATGTATCCAAAAAAGATCGATTTTTGGCCATTTTAGACCCACACAAGTGATAGATCTACACTGGCATTAGTGGCTTGTGGCCTGATCAACAAGCTTTCAAAACATCCCTCTGTTTTGAAAGCAAAATACTCTTCTCCTAAGCCAGAATGGTAGAAATATTCTGATTGGTTGGAGGTTAGCCTTTTAGCCAATCAGAAATCACTTTAGGAAGCCCCAAATATTTAGTTGGAAGGCAGAAGCAGCAGTTTACTATATGGTCCTATGAGATCGGCCCTGCCACTTTCATGGCAGGAAATGGGCCGATCTAATCGGCCCTTGCCAGAGTTAGGGTTAATGTTAATTTTGCTGTTTATTGTCATTTAAAATTATCCTTTGTGGATTGGGGGGGCCCCCGGCCAAACACAGGGGAGATAACTCGCAATTTTGTGGGCAAATAATAAATGTTCTAGGGGAAATTTTATATGCCCCTGTGGGCCAATAAGCACTCCGTTATTTGATAGTGTTTTTCTAGAATGCTGCCGGCCAAAGGCAAAGCGACGTAAGAGCTCTCTGTGTCCGAAGTGAAAGCGATGCAACTGTACTATTTTGTTTTTCTTGATTGTAGTGGAATATCATGATTTGCTCTGGCTTTTTTTTAAAAACAAGTGGTGATTAGGATCAATAACTGCAACTCATACATCTGTTTTGTTAATACTCCACAGAGAGGAATGAGCTGTGCCAGGAGTGGGTGTCCATGCTAGCAGCAGCCAGCATCCCAATTAGTAAAACTGATCACCCTGCGGTTCGTCAGTTTCTCCAGAAGCGGGTGCCAAATGGAGGAAGCACACCACAAACACACCGGCCCCAAGCATGCTACCTTCAGAGGGAGACGAAAGTCATTGGCTTATGATATTTACATTCTACTGGAATGGAGCAAATCTTGAGAGATGCAAAAATTGGAAGGTTTAGATCTATACTCTCAAAACAGTGCGCACGGTTAGTGAACGGAAACCTCTTTTTATAAAATTACACAGAGTCAGAAGCGTTGGCCAACAAAAGCGACCAGCGAAATATATAGAAGTTTAACTTTTTGCAGCAAAACTCTCCCAAAACTGAAAAAAACGAAGGGCGTCATGATCTGGAGAATATTTTAAAGAATCTTTTTGCGAAAACCGCATGTCGATCGATGCAGCCATTAATTTCTGGAGACCCCCGAAATCTGGGTTAGTCCGCTTCTCCTTAAAACTATTAAAAGCGACCAGTTGTCTGCTCTCTCTCTCTCTCTCTCTCTCTCTCTGTCTCTCTCTGTCTCTCTCTCTCTCTCTCTCTCTGCAACATAAAAAAGTTCTTCGGTGCTTATATGACCTAATAGTGTTGCAAGCGCCGTAAAACTACAGCAAAACAAACAAAACAGTTGTTTTTTATTGTGTTCATGCTTTTCATTGTGTTTGTATTTGTCTTGTTTCCCTTTCGGGTCTATACATTCATTAAAATCTCATGACTTTGTTGTTTTCTTTTGTCTGCTTCCAGGTTTGGACTTACCCTCAGGACCTGAAGTTCACATTTCATGGAGGCTGCGTCACTCAAATTCAAGCTATTTTGATAATGACTTTACAAGCAGGGACGAAATAGGACTTCTTGACAAATTTCGCCAAGCGTATACTCTTGTCGATGAGAAGCTTGATAGGTACATGTGTCAGAGGGACTACCAGCGATTTTGTTTCTTGAGCGTGTCCAGTTTTTTAATCCATCTAAAGTTATTTTTATGTCTTCTGATATTTCATGCGTGAGACAGGTGTCCCTGGTTTAAGCGATGTGCCAGCATCAGAGCTGTTCAGATACACTAACGACCTTGCACCGAAAGCCGTGAAGAGTGCCTCAGCCTCTGGTGTTGACTGCGAGCTATTTTGGAAGTCGAGTCAGTTCGACCTGCCTCATCTTTGGAAGTCAGCACTGCACTATATGTTTGCTACTACTGCTGTTCACAGTGCTGATGCCGAACGCAGCTTTTCATTGTACAAATTGATCCTCAGCGAAAGGCGTCGCAGCTTATCTGAGGAATCCATCAAAAGGCTCCTCTTTCTTTACCACCACAAGTTTGTTGGTCGTGATTTTTTTGACGAATTTTCTGTTCTTGAATATTTTCTTATAATTTCAAATCCCCCAAGTATGATGCTGTGCCCTTTCAATGTTGTAATTTTTAATTAATTAATTAATTTGTTTAAAGTAGGCCTACTATTACTAAGATTGTTCTTTGGTAAGCTTGTCTATTTTCACAGTCACAACTATAGCCTATAAGCCTATGCATTGTCTGTTTTGTGATGGTTTTTTTATCAGCTTGTCTATCAGCACATCTCCACTGCTGCTATGTGCAATTTGCTTTTTTCGTTTGTCAGATAATCTGTCAGCACCTCTGCACAGCAGAATATAGAGTAGATATACTTTGTATGTATGTAGTATAGGGTTTTACGGCGCTTGCAACTGCTAAGGTCATATGAGCGCGCGTAGATATAATATATACTTTGCCTTTTTTTTTTGGTGTGTTGGCCTGGTCCAGATGTCTTCTTTTTTTTTTTTTTTACATTTTTCTTTCCTCTGTACAGCTGAAAGTTACAGAGATTATATTTTTAGTTGGTTTTTCTGACTGATGTGCATTGTTTTTTTTCCAAATACACAAAATAATTGCCGATATTGATGTGATCTGTTTTCAATTCTTCTGTACATGTACTGTGGTGTATTTAGTTGTTTTTGGTTGTGGCAGGGGGTTAGGCCTAGCCTATTGTATTGTTTGGCTGAAAGTGTGGGAGTGAGTAAAGTGTGAGTCTGTGTTCAGTTGTATTGTTTGTAAGTTGATAAAAGTCTGAGTTACTACTGGTGGGATTTGGAGAGGAGAGAGTTGTATCAAGGCAGAGGAGGCCTGCTGACAGTATAGGTTGTGAAGAAGGCTAGTTAGAGCCTCGGTTCAGTTGTGCGTGAAGTGTGAGATTCCAATCCAATGCATCAGGGCCCCAAAGCTGCGGAAGGAATCACAATACAGAGTAGAGGAACAGGTTTGGCTAATTCCTGTTATAGTGGCATGTAACAGAAGGTTAGTAGTGTAAAATCTTTGTTTTATGTTCCAAGTAACAACATGTACACAAAATGGGAAAATTGTGGATAAAAAAGTGCAAAACATGTCGTGAATGGCATTACGGTCTCTCGCATAATTTTTGCATAATTTTGCATTTTTCATGCATAATTTGGCCATCTAAATTCACATAATCCAATGGGGACAGGTAGTACCTACCTACCTACCTACCTACCTGCCTGCCTGCCTGCCTACCTACCTACCTACCTGCCTACCTGCCTACCTACCTACCTACCTGCCTGCCTCCCCAGACATCGGAAATACTCTATACAGCGACAAAACAAAACTGATAAAAACCTGTAAATTCTTTGCCATATCCACAGGTAGAACTCAAATGGCCGCTGGATCGGAAAAGTAAAGTAAAGTAAATAAAGTAGCGGAGGTTCAGTTGAACCATTTTAGTAGGGTGGAGGCCTGGAAACAGTAGCTCCGTGCAGTGGTGGGTGTAGGGTGGAGGTGACATCACAGTGAGCGACCCTAGACTAGATTCTTTCTGATTGCCATCGCCAACGCCGAGCTGGGATTGTCTTCCCATGCCCAAGGTAAAGAATTTTATTTTCACGGCATGGCGACTGTGACATGGTTGGTCCGTTCTACGCTTTCTCTCATTTTGGGCGTTCACTTTATGATTTATCCCATTTCCCCGGTTCATTTTATCCACTATTTTTTAAACGTTTACTTAAACAAATAGCGTTTCAATCAGGACCACAGAATATCGTTCACTTTAACTGATTGTTCAAATAAAGCGTGTTCACTTTTAGCGGACTCCACTGTATGGACATGATGGAATCGGGTGCTCATCAATTTTTGGACATACGGCTTTATTGGTTTATCGTCTTTAGCCAGTTCATTTGTCTTGCTTTTGGTGAAAAAAAATACTAATCTGTTTTGAAAAGAAGTTGAAATATCTGGGATTGAAGGAAGTTGTAGACAAGTCTTGGAGGTAAAAATTAATGAGAAAATAGTCGCCAAAGTTGAATGACTTTATAGCTTGAGTGTCCTTGGAAACTGCAATTTTTCCTTTTTCGTGTGTGTCTCAATCAAATCCACATGAAAATGTGTTTTTTAATGGGCTAGAAAGATGTTGACCCAAAAGAGAAAGTTTGTTGTGAATAGCTCAAACTCTATGGGCAGAAAGACGTTTGTTTCTCTGATTTCATTACTTTGACTTTGACGACTGTTGGATTGCACCACGATTCCTCACATTTCTAGATGTAAAGTTTGTGGTACGGTACATGCCTGTTTATGGAGACAGGAAAGACAGAGACTTAATGAACAAGAGCATTGCAACAAGTGGAAAGGATGGTGGACAGGGTTTCTGTGTTGTAAGTATCACAGAGGCTTTCACAATGTCACATCATATATTCTACATGTAGTTGGAAGCTTTTAATTTTAAGCACATAAGGGGGCTATCCCGAAAAATGCTGCTTTGAGAAAACCGAAGGTGGTAAAGTTTTTGCCTGTTGTTCAGTTTCTTTCGAAGACAAGGAGAGTTTTCTCTATATTAACCAAACAATATATATACCCACCAATGAAACCAAACTTCTCCTGTAGGTAGGGCATTGCCCACTCTTGGTGTAGGTCAAGATTTCTGGAAACCCCCGAAATTTGGGTTAGTCGGCTTGTCCTTAAAAGCGAACATGAGTTGTCTGCTCTCTCTTTCTCTCTCATCAGGGTAGGATAGGCCTACTTAACAATAATAACATTTCAGCAACCATCAGCCCCATTGGTCGGTATCATGCTGGACTGGGGAGCGGGTGGCCCTGGTTCGAATCTAAGACTGGATGTTCTGGAACTTAGTTGTTTTAGGAAGTTTGGAAGACTCTCAGCTCATTTGGCTTAGTCCTGTCAGATAGGGACATTACATTCGGAGATCACGTCTCTTAAATACCCTAACAGTGTTCATGTAACAGTAAAGTGTATGAGTTTGAACCCATACACTTTACAGATATATATCTATCATTATCATACATATATATATATATATATATTATATATATATTAAATGTGATGTTTGTAAGGATGAGAGTGGATGACAGGATATGACATTATTATTCTTTTATTTCTATTTTGATGAATAAAAAAAACTGTTCAAAGATTGTACAGTGGGTGTCGCATTCAACGAGGTCACATTCAACGAGAGGTCGGCTCCAACGAGGCATTCCTTCATCCCCAATTTTTTCCTCTATATATCTCTTTGTAAATGTACGTCAGCTCCAACGAGATTGCAAACAGACCGAAGTCGCTTTCAACGAGATCGCGATAACCAAATAGAAGCAATTAGCGGCCCCAGAAGCGAAAAATTGTTCTCCTTTCTCTCCATCCCATCTTACGCAAAATACAAGGCCCATCCTCGATTCCGAACACATTGTATTGCTAGATCTAGAAGATCTAGTGTGCCTCCTATTCCTAATAAATGGGCCCCAAAGCCAAAAGAATGGGCGAGGGTTAGCCTACGGAAGGGGTGGGTGGGAATGCGATGCGGGCTGTGTGAAACTGGATGAACTCTGGATGGGTAGGTCTAGATCGAAACCTTCACTATTTTTTCCATTTTCTTTTTTTCCCCTGATCAGAAAATCCAAGCTCCTGCCTTTACTTTATGTAGATCTAGGCCTAGACGTGAGAGGGTATGTTTCCACACGAGAAGTGTTCCGGAAAAAAATATATTTAAAAATGCAGAAATGGATGCTGTTTGAGATTTTCGTCATCAGGGGGAACAGCTGTTTTAATTACTGGTATTGGTACGTCGTGTAATATACAATAACTTGTCTCCTTTCTTGTCTTTAGCCGTAGTCACGTTCAACGACAGGTCGGACCCAACGAGGAAAACAAGCCGGCCCCGGCAACCTCGTTGAACGCGACACCCACTGTACCCGTTTCTCTTCAATAAACTTTTATTAATGTATAACAATGATAATAATAATGTTAAAAATAATGATAATGCTAATAATAATTTATAATGATGATGACGATAATAATAATAATAATAATAATTTCATCGAATGCAACTGTTGAAAGCTAGTAGGCCTAAGATCTAGGCCTACATACTATACTGCTGAAACTGTCTTAATGCTCTTCATACTTGTTTGATCGTACATAAAGAAAATGGACGCAATAATACTTATTGTCCTAATCTAGATCTAGATAATAATATTATCTAGATCTATAGAATCTATGCTTGAACGGATTGTGCAGAATCAAATTTGGAACATGTAGTCAGACTTTTCCTCTTCATGGCACTGTTTATTCGTTTATCGAAGTAATTGTGTGAGTGTACGTAGGCCCATAACATTAATAACAACATACTTAGGGCAACCCAAACAAATGGGTAACAAGGAAAGTTCAGGGAAACGTAGCTAGGGTAGTGTCATCATTGACATTGTGATTGTGTTATTTACGCAAGCGCTATTTGCAATGCCGCATTCTAAATAGCTCCCGTGCTATTTGAAACGCCAGTACTAGAATCTAGATTTCTTCTACATCTAGATCTAGATCTAGTAGCCATCGTTTCTACATAATAATATTGTAGTTCTGCTTGAATTGTGGAATCTTTCTCTGTTTCTTGATACACCTCCTATATTATATTATAGGATTTGACTCCTTTTTTATGACGTTGTCTTGTTCCGATCAATATTGGGTTGATCTATTGTTTCTGACATTTTGGAAGCTCTCTCAGTTTCTTGATAAACCTCCTATATTATGGGATTTGGGAGGACTTCCGTAACGAGCGACCACTATGAGACAGAGCAGAATTGAGGGCTTGGGGTAGGGGTAAGGTTAGGGTTAGGGTTAGGTCTAGGCCTCTTCTTTATTGTGTTTGATGGGGTGGTCGCTCGTTACGGAAGTCCTTCCTAGGATTTGACTCCTTTTTTATGACGTTGTCTTATAATTCTGATCAATATTGGGTAGATCTAGATCAGATCTAGATCTAGAACAATTGTTTCTGACATTGTTTGCACAAAAGTAGACTAGACGTAGTCTTGTTCATCTCTCATATTCATAATCATTTGAGTTTGAGCAAGTTTAAGTCGAAAGACGCTTGGATAACAATAACAAGACGGTGCAACTCGGTATCCGCAGTGTCGTCATACAATAGATATCTACCTTAAAATATTATCTTTAACTTTAAGTTAGGCCTAGAGAACGTATAGAATCTACAAGTTGTCTACGTTCCCTAAGTCTAATGTTCAGTGCTCCCAAGCGCGGCATCGAATCCCGGTCCGGGAAGGTTTTTTTTTCCCGAAGTGTATACAGACCCGGTAACCGGGAACAAAGTCACGAAGTATACAGGCCCGGTAGGGGAACTCTTTTGCGATTTCGGAAAGTTTCAGCGCCCAGACCCGGTAGTGTGTGTGTGTGTGTGTGTGTGTGTGTGTGTGTGTGTGTGTGGGTGTGAGTGAGTGAGTGAGTGAGAGAGAGAGAGAGAGAGAGGAGAGAGCAGAGGGAAGTGCTAGCAAAATGTATGACATAGTTGGCAGGAGGGAACGAGAGAAAGATAGAGTGGGAAATACGAGGGGAGAAAGAAAGACAGAGACAAAAAAAAAAAAGAGAATGCGAGCGATACACAGAGACAGAGGAAGGAGAGGGAGAGAGAGAGAGAGAGAGGGGGGGGGGGACTGCTCAATTTAAATTATGACATTGTTCTTTTCTTCAAATTGTGATTCCTCCAACTCCAAAACGGGGGAAAAACGATCGTTCATCGAAAAGACATCCGCAATCTTCATTTAGATTTAGATCTAGATTCTAGGTCTCTAGATTCTAGATCTAGATATAGGCTAGCCTCGAAACTAGATCAATGATTTATATCTGTCGGTCTAGATCTAGACCTAGGCCATAGATCTAGAAGAACCTAGTTTTACCCTGAGCCAAGAGGGCGCTGGAACTCTCCGAAATCACAAAAGAGTTCCCCTACCGGGTCTGTATACTTTGTGACTTTGTTCCCGGTTACCGGGTCTGTATACACTCCCTTTTTTTCCTTCTCCTGAGCCTAAAATAGAAAAAAATAATAATTAGACTCCCAGACCAAGGAAATCCACTATTGAACTTTAACCAGGCCCAAATTGGTAAAAGGAAAAGTATAGGCTATACTAAGGCCTACTTTGTACCGAGCTCCTCTTGGGGACAAAACCAGAATGTGCATGCTTCACCACTACATAAAAAAAACAACTACAAAACAACAAGTTGTAATTATGGGAAAAAATTGTAGGTCTGTCGAGAAGAGGACAACAACAATCAAAACAAAGCCAAAAAAGAACAAACAAAAAAAACCGTCCAGGACCGGAATCGAACCCACGCTAAAAAAATAATGGTTTGATTTCCAGCGCAGACGCGCTGTCAATTCGACCATCAGAACTTCCGATAACGAAGTGCAGATTAAGCTTGATATTTTACACACCGCGAGACGGCGTTTTATTTAGCACTGGCGCTAATCGCAACGCGGCGTTGCAAATCTAATAGGCTCTTCCGTGTTATTATTACAAAGATGGCTGACATTTCCTACACAAGTAAACAAATGGACGCCAACTGTGAGGAAGACACAACAATAACAATGTATAGACTTAACTCTGGAAATGATAATGGCTCTGGATGTGTGAAAACTTGTGATTTATTTGTTCCTTGTTCTTCTGGAGAAGGTGTGAATCTTGGGATTGATAGCATAGTTGTTAAAAGTGAACCTAACGACAACGTCTAATTCTGGGACTAGATGTAGACTCTAGATCAAGATCTAGTACTAGTACTGTTTGTACTAACAGTTTAAGGGAAGATGTAAAACATGACATTATAGGTAGGGAAAGTGAATCTGTGGGTGTTGATGAGGAACATCTGTCAGTAAAAGTAGAAGAGCCCAGTTTTGAATATCGGTGTGACGTCAAGGCGGAGAAAATGACAAACTGAACATTGAAAGTGAAAGTAGCCTGACTCTCAGACACAGTGTAGTAAAAGATGAGCCTATCTGTACAGAGGAGGAAGACGTGAAACCTGTCATTAAACCAGAGTGCCTTACAGATATCTGTACAGTGAAAACCGAACCACTATTTGGACATTTTCCTGACTTTGGTGATGAAGTGAAACAAAAAATGGAAAATTTTGTGAAAGAAGAAGTGTCAGAATGGGAAGGTCCAGACTTTGGAGAGGTAGGAAAGACAGAAGAACAAGTGGGAGATGTGGAGGATACGTGTGCTGAGCCCGTGTTTGTTGAGGATCACATGAGTCAGGCTGGAGGACTACAGCTGAAAAGCTCCAATGTGAGGAGCTTGTGTATGGAGCAGAGTGCCAGCCCCGACACTGATGTTGTTGCTTCCAGTAGTCTAACTTCAACTTTCTCTGCCGATCCAGTCACAAGTTCAGGATCTGTAGTCAGGGCCAGCTGGGATCACGGTGAAAGTTCTGGTTCGTAGAATCCTTCTGTAGTGTGTGTGGACTTTTCGATACGGTATGTTTTGCATTTCTTGATGCGGTTTGTCAAGTTGTTAAAAAATGAGCAATTCCATGACGTGCCAGGTACACATATTATCATGCAGTTATACTGGCATGACAAATTCATTGGGCCCGACATACATTATGTTAATTGAATCTGAGTGTTTATATAGACTTTTATTTTATATAATGAAGACTACCACAAAGAAATGTTGTAAAGTGTTTCAAAGTAAATCTGCTTTTATTGGATCAGAAAAAGCGGTAGCGGCAATGGAATTTGCTGTTGAAATTGATTAAAATCAGAAAAAGTTATAGCAGCTCAAATTAATTCAAAATATAGAAAGTTTCGCTCAGCATTAAAAAAAAGCAGAAAACATGACTCGGAACGGTCAGACAATTTATACATGTAGTCACAGTGAAACTTGATCTAGTGCAAAATATCATGAAGTGGTAGGGTCTTACCTTGGATTTTGTTGAATCTGAGAGTCCTTTATAGCTCAATGTGAGCAACGAGTTGTGGCACAATGCTTAGCACACACCAACATCTGTTTCCACCGACCAGTGCTCAGTTCATTATAATAGATTTACATCTATCATGTCTAGACTTCCCTTTCATTGTTCAGTAGCCGGAGTTGGGGGTGAATATGATTGGGGGGGGGGCTCTGGTGGACTAGAGGTTAAGATGTTGGCGAGAGAGAGTAGATATATAATTATATAATATTACAGACAGCCTGAGGTGGCACAGATCCTTTGAAGTTTGTCCAGACGTTTAACTTCATGGTGTATGTTTGTGGACGGGAGAAAAGCTAACTGTTTGCTGCCGCCGTTTTTATAGTCCGGACTACTCCAAATGGACAACTTGTCGACCTCATTACAAGGAAACTAAGAAGCGAATTGCTTTTGAATTCCGAAAAACCTTAAAATCTCGATTTCCGTGCATATTCGACAAATATAAAGAAGTGTTTTTTTTATATATAATCATTGGTATACATTGATTTTCTGAAAGAGCACACTTAGGATTACTTACAACAAAAAGTTTGCAACAAAATGTTGGCAATCTGCTGAGTTATTGCCCCTGAATTGTCGACAATTGTGAAAATTAACTTTTTTTAAAAATTCCCTTTTTGAGTAGATAATCTAAAAAGTTGGTGCTCTAGGTTAAAGAAAAACAGTTAATATACTGACCATTTTGTGGTAGTTATTTGCATAGCGAATAGAGAAGAAAAATAATGTTTAAAAGTCCGTTTTCTCAAAAAATTGAAAACAGCCGCACAAAGTTGACGTATATTCCCTGCTGGGTATTACACAACAAAGGAAAAGCTACACATACACAAAATTTAGATCCACAAAAAATGAGTACAATGCCGAGTTGCAGACATCCCTTAACAATGCAGTTATAGCCATTGGCTATGTGTGTACATGTTGGATTAGTGAGTGTACTCGTACAAAGAAATACTGGAGAAAAAGATCATAGCTTCTAGAAATTGACTTGCATAGGGCATATATGTAAAAGAAGTGAGTTGCTTGGGTGCTAGTTATCCAAATTTTGTACTGTAAGTCAGTTGGTGTTGCATGTAAAGTCTTACGTAGATGCTTTCTATGTCATCAGTTCAACTTCACTGCTGTCTCTTCCAGAATCTGAAATCTCATCTTCTTCATCACTGGTATCATAATAAAGGAGATGGTTTTCATCTTTTTCTTTCTCTTGTTCTGTGTCTGATCCTGGAAAAATATCAACCAATTGTTGAGGGACCAAGTCTTTGTCCCACTCCACTGATAGCACTCCACCGTCACCTCTCTTCCAACCATGATCTTGCGGATCAGGTATTAATGGTTGAGCCAGAAGTGCTTGCTTCCATATAAAATATATTTAAGTTTGATAGTTTGCGCGTAGGATGTGCGGCTTCAGGGCTTCTCTGCGTGATGGTAGCAAGCTGATGTCAAATCCATCAAAGCATTACTGTAAGCTTTGACCTTTTGCCTTATACTTTAGCCTTACGAGGTCATGACGAAGCTTGTTTGTGCTAGAGTAAGCTGACTTTCCGTACAGGTGACTAACAAACTTTTCCAGATCGGAAAACAGTTATGAAGAAACAGTTTTAGATGTTCCTAGCTCTTTGAATGAAACAGCAAACCCTGGTCGCTTGTGGAGGATGGTGAGTGGCTTCACCTTTCCTTTCTGGACAAAAGCGCTAGTAACATCACATCCAGAGAATGCATGGAGTCCAAGAATAGAATCCTGTATAAGGGTTTCCATTTTGTCACAGAGCGTCTGAATGTGTAGACATCTTCTTTTGTTCCCAACCCCTGGGTCAAAATACAAACTGCTTGTGAAATGTTGAACAAATGCAATCATCAGTAGAAAGCCATCAGTGTCTGGGGACAGAATAATGATGTCTGTGTTTGGAGTGGCAATGTTCTGATCAGAGGAGATGGCGTGCACGATCAGTAGTGTGTCTGCTTCCTCGTGGCTGGAGGATGACTGTGGAACAGGTCTTGAGTCTGTAGTTTTTCCATCACTGCTACTAAGGACAAAGCACTGTTGGTCACTTGCAAAGTAGATTTCTCTGTTCAGCAACATCATTGCGTAACAATCTTGTTGCCATTCATAACGTAAGAACTGTGTCAGTTGCTTTTTGTTTTCCTGAGTCATAAGGACCACTTGGAAAGTGAGTGATGAGGTTGTTGTCAGGCATGATGGATGGGGGCAAACTACCCGAAGAAACCTGTATACTGTCACACATGGCAGTTTCCATTTCCAAGAGAAATGAGTGGGAAACAGAATGTCCATGCCAGTTTAAGATATTGATCAGCTGAGTGTTTCCTGTTAGATGACGGACATATATATATGTATACCAATCATAATATGTTTAGGCATTTTCCACACCCCTTTTGTCTCATTGTAGCATATGTCCTGACCTGTAGAAACAACTCTCCTGTGGCATCTTGTTGACTGTGCTTTTCCATTCTTGGAGTAAAGAAAGGAAAGAAATGTTGTAAAAAGTTGTGATATTTGCAAAGTTTCTGTGTGCAGATCTGTGTCTGCTGGAGGCCAAGGTAACTTTTGACTTTCCTTGCATTCATCAAGAACTGGTCGTCGTATCACTTTTGCCGCTTCTATAACAAATCTCTCTTCAGAGGTTACAATTTCAAAGGCAACTCCAACAGCCTGTCCAGTTGGAATTTCGTCAGAGTCCACGAGATCACTTGTCCCAGAATATCTCTGCCAGAGGTTGATCCTGGACTTGAAGTGCTTCACAAGTTTTTCTTTCAACGTATATGTCTTGTAGTTCTTGTTGTAGAACTCTGGATAATTTGTTTGCAGGAAAGTGCAATAGATCTCTTTCAAAAGATTAACCCTAACAACAAGGGCCAGTGCAGTGACATGTTCTTCCTCAAACTGACGGACGTGCTGAAAAACCTTGGAGTGGGCTTCTTCCTCTGCAGCAGGAGCTTTCTTTCTTTCTTTCTTTCTTTCTTTCTTTCTTTCTTTCTTTCTTTCTTTCTTTCTTTCTTCAGCTTCTGCCTTTTCTTCTTCAAAACAGTATTTAGATGTAGAAGCTTGTGAACGTCGATCCTCCTTACGTGTGTTAGATGTAGAAGCTTGTGAACGTCGATCCTCCTTACGTGTGTTAGATGTAGAAGCTTGTGAACGTCGATCCTCCTTACGTGTGTAAGCTTTTCTACATGGTTCATGATACCATGCCTCTTGGGCAATGAGATCAACATTTTCAATTTGGCCCCGAAGTTTTGGGTCAGATTTTCTGTTTTCAGCTTCTTTTTTTAAATAGAAGCCTCAGCTCTTCTGGTAACACTTTTGACAAGTTTATGAACTTTCTTGGTCCCCTTGCTGTGTGTCCATTTGGTAGTCTTTTCACAGAAAAGGCATTGAATGGGCAAGAGATGTGTTGAAAACGATTGCTTTTCCTTTTTCCTGGTGGAGCAAGACCCTTCTTGTGCTGATTTGTCAGACTCTCCTGGTGAATGCCTTTTTCTTAGACTCCTCAAATTGATGAATGTATTGAAACCCATATTGAACAGAGTCCAACTCAGTCAGTATTCTTTCCCAAATTGAGGATAGTCTATCACTGTCAGTTTCTGCAAGACACCGTTGTGTTTTTGATTTTTGAATGGTGTCCCAGTGTCTCTCAATGAGGGGTTTTATTTCATCATGGCCTTTGAAGTTACGGTATGCACTACACATGTCCTTTCTTCAAGCTGTCCTTCTTTCTTTTGAGATTTTGACCTCTCTTTCTTTGATGTCCATGCTTGATTCTAAACGTTCAGTTCGTCCTCTGAAACATATAAAGAAAAGTGTACATTGCTAGAGAAACTAGGCTTCACATTTTTTACCTCTTTCTTCTTTTAAATTAGTTATAACTAACAAAATGTTTTTCAAGACTCCTTTATCATGCCCATATGACTAGCATCATTATGATTGGTCTAGACTTCTGACTATATCTGAGACAAAAGTACGCATGGCGCCTTTTTGCCCACGTTTTTAAAATGACGTGCGGCAGTTTTGCATTTTTTCCAATATATAGCAATAGCAAAAGGTTAAAAGCTCCTTAACTCATGGGCTAGTTATTTTGCATAAAATCCTTTTCTTTTTGTGCCTCAAAGTGTGTGCATATCAGAAAACTATTGCCCCGGGTTATGGAAGATTTGAAGCGATGGAATTAATCCTTTCTATAGATTTTGAGAAATCAGCCTTTGACTTTGAATGCTCTTTTTTCCTCTTTGCGCCTTGTAATTAATTAGCACAAAAAAATATTTTTACCACACTTACTTCATCTTATAATATTTGAGTTTTACATCATATGAAAGTACACATTTTTGGCTCCACAGAGACCCCCAACATAAAAATCTAGTATTTTCTTAATTTCTCGACAATCAAGGGCAGTAACTCTGTAGATTGCCAACATTTTGATGCAAACTTATTTTGGGGAGGTCCCTAGGTCCTACCCTTTCAGAAAATCATGGTGGCGAAAAATCCCCCGGGGGGGGGGGGGGTGAGGTTCACTCCCAGTAGCCCATAGCCTACATCCCTGGACCTACCGAGGCCCGTCCCAACGAGTTCTAGCTATCCATGTTATACTGTGTATATGTGTCTATTTCTGCGCTACGATATATATATATATATATATATATATATATATATATATATATATATATAAATATATATATATATATATATATATATATGTGTGTGTGTGTGTGTGTGTGTGTGTGTGTGTGTGTGTGTGTGTGTGTGTGCATCTCCTTTGAAAGTAAAAGAAAGCTGAGTTGTTGTTGTTGGGTTTTTTTACCGTAAATAATTGTCAGTGTCATTAGACTCGTTGTCCACTTCCTCATTCCATCACATGGTGACACGACAAGGCAAACTGTCTTTTCTTTGACTTTATGCCTGTACAACGCAGACGTGCTGACCACTTTTTTTGTCATTCCTTTTGTGGGTTGGTGGAAAGAAATCAAAGGTCTCCAACGTTTACGATTACAGAAAATAACCCAGTGTTCCTGTGGTTGTTGTGTGTTCCTTCTCTTGAAATGTAAAAAAAATGACATGGTGTTTGAGAAAAGGGATGTAAAGCACAAGTGGGATGAATGTGTAGACAGTCAGAGTAAATTTTAGGCTTGTATTTTAAGTGTGTAGGATAGCAGCCACATCTCATCTTGATCATTCTTTTTCCGTGATTAGATTCATCTAAATATAATAACTTATTATACCTGTGTGTTGATTAAACTTGGTAAGATAACTTGTACATAAAGTCCGTTATAATTGTCTTCTTCCAGATGGTTCATTTTACCTTCAGGGTTAGATCTAGATAACTTGTCCGTTATTTGTGTTTTCCAGATGTCTCAACGTACCCTCATAGGCCACCGACTTCCTGTTCTCCGGTACAACAGACAAGTGATATGCAGAAAAGACAAGGTCAAAGTTCAAGCTGCAGATTTCAGACAGGACAAAGGGTCTATGAAGAGAACGTTGGCAGTGTCCGGAGAGAAACCTATTCTGGTGACATCGGTGCTGTGGAGAGAGTCTGTGACCTCCATCAGAACATACCAGGTGACAAGCAGATGGACAACAGAAATCTCTACCATGGTCGGGAAAAACCTCACGAGTGTAAAGTCTGTGGTGAAATGTTTTCAGAAGTAGGTAAGTTACAGACACACGAAAAAAAACACACAAGAGATAGGCCTCACCAGTCTGAAGTTTGTGGTGCTGCATTTACCAAGAGCAGACGTCTACAGGATCACAAAGGAACACACACAGGGGGGAAACCTTACAAGTGTGAAGTTTGTGGTGCCACGTTTACACTCAGCGGACATCTACACAGGCACAAAAGAATACACACAGGAGAAAAACCTTACAAGTGTGAAGTTTGTGGTGCAACTTTTACACAAGATGTCAGTCTTCAGCGTCACAAAAGAACACACACAGGAGAAAAACCTTACAAGTGTGAAGTTTGTGGTCTCACTTTTACACAGAGCGGACATCTACTGAGTCACAAAAGAATACACACAGGAGAAAAACCTTACAAGTGTGAAGTTTGTGGTGCCACGTTTACACGCAATAGCAGTCTACAGAGTCACAAAACAATACACACAGGAGAAAAACCTTACAAGTGTGAAGTTTGTGGTGACACGTTTACATTTAGTTACAGTCTACAGGATCACAAAAGAAAACACACAGGAGAAAAAACTTTCAAGTGTGAAGTTTGTGGTGCAACTTTTACATGTGGTATCAGTCTTCAGCGTCACAAAAGAACACACACAGGAGAAAAACCTTTCATGTGTGAAGTTTGTAGTGCAACTTTTACACAACGCATCAGTCTACAGCGTCACAAAAGAACACACACAGGAGAAAAACCTTACAAGTGTGAAGTTTGTGGTCTCACTTTTACACAGAGCGGACATCTACTGAGTCACAAAAGAATTCACACAGGAGAAAAACCTTACAAGTGTGAAGTTTGTGGTGCCACGTTTACACGCAATAGCAGTCTACAGAGTCACAATAGAATACACACAGGAGAAAACCCTTACAAGTGTGAAGTTTGTGGTGCAGCTTTTACACATGGAATCAGTCTACAGCGTCACAAAAGAACACACACGGGAGAAAAACCTTACAAGTGTGAAGTTCGTGGTATCACTTTTATACAGAGCGCACATCTACAAAGTCACAAAAGAATACACACAGGAGAAAACCCTTACAAGTGTGAAGTTTGTGGTGCCACATTTACATGTAACGAAAGTCTACAGCATCACAAAAGAATACACACAGGAGAAAAACCTTACAAGTCTGAAGTTTGTAGTGCCACATTTATATGTAACGAAAGTCTACAGCGTCACAAAAGAATACACAGAGGAGAAATACTTTACAAGTGTGAAGTTTGTGGTGCCACATTTAAAAGGAGCTGGCATCTACAGAGGCACGAAAGAACACACACAGGAGAAAAACCTTACAAGTGTGAAGTTTGTGGTGTCACGTTTTCACTTGGTAACAGTCTAAAGCGTCACAAAAGAATACACTCAGGAGAAAAACCTTTCATGTGTGAAGTTTGTGGTGCCACATTTACACAGAGCCATCATCTACAAAGTCACAAAAGAACACACACAGGAGAGAGACCGTACAAGTGTGAAGTTTGTGGTGCCACGTTTACATTTAGCGGAGGTCTACAGAGTCACAAAAGAACACACACAGGAGAAAAATCTTACAAGTAGGAAGTTTGTGGTGCCATTTTCAAACGGAGCAGACATCTACAGAGTCACAAAAGAACACACAGATTAGAAAGACTTTACACAATGGGAAATTTGTGGTGCCAGGTTTGCATAAAGAGACCATCTATGGAGACGCAAAAGAACACACGTGAGAAAAAAAATGTATAAAATATTTTGGGACATACTCTTTGTGGTCCACACGATGACTGAATGGTAAATAATGATCTATCTAAAGAAGGCCAGATACAGGTGTGAAATTTGTGCTGCAAAATTTAACTGACTGTGAACTGGCTTCATACTAAAGGGCATAATTTTGAGGATTTTTCTTTTAGTTTAGTTTTTAGTAATAGTTTTACAGCACTTGCAACACAATAAGGTCTTACGATAAGTGCCGAAGATTAGAAGTGTTGCAAAAGAGCGACATGTACAAAAAATGGAGAGAGATTAGGACACAACAGATGTTCAATAGAGGAAAAAAGGAGCAGACTACACTAGAGCACCCGCGAACCACCCATAAATCTGACTGAAATTTGAGTTAGTCTTTTTTTGTATTGGATGGCGTAGAGTGTAGGGAAGCGAAAAGAGATGTGATGGAAGAATATGGACATGATGGAATCAGGTGCTCGTCAATTTGTGGGCCTACCGCTTTATTGGGACATGTATCGTCTTTGACTTTAGCCTGTTCATTTGTCTCGGTTTTGTCTAATCTATTTTGAAAAGGAGTTGAAATATTTGGGATTGAAGGAAGTTGGGGTCGACAAGTCTTGGGGGTAAAAATTAATGAGAAAATACATCTAGTCGCCTTAGCTGAATGACTTTAATAGCCTGAGTGTCCTTGAAAACTGCAATTTTCCTTCATTTGTATTTGTTGTTGTTGTTGTTGTTGTTGTCTTTAATCAAAGTTTCTCAGTCAAGTCCAGACAAAGATGTATTTTTAAGGACAAGAAAGGTTCTGAGCCCAAAAGAAAAAGTTGTTGAGAATTACAGTGGAACTCAGATTTAACGAGCTCGGATTCAACGAGATGAGATAGATTCCCCGTTTTTCTTCTTCTTTAAAATCAAAAAAGTAACCCGCATTCAACGAGCACTTAATTCAGTGAGCTCGGATTCAACGAGGTCGCTTCCAGGGTGAACAGCCCCCGCAGACGTGGCTTCGCT